ACAATAAATTGGAAAAAAAACTAACTTGCGTTACTTATTTGAAAAAGTAACTCAGATATTCTCTTGTAAATTAAAAAGTAATGCGTTACTTTACTAGTTACTTGAAAAAAGTAATCTGATTACGTAACTCACGTTACCCCAACACTGTATATATATATATATATATATATTAGTCTAAATAAACTGTAAACTGTCAATAAACTGTTGACTGTCAATTACAACATCTGGGCAACAAAATGTACTTCTGGGCAATCAAGTATAGACTAACTATGAGCAGCATATGCAGAATAAGCCTCACAATATTGTCATGGGACCGACAAAGTCACGGGAAAGGTGTATTTCATGGGCAAATGCACTTGAGAGCTTTACCAAAGTGCTCAGCCTTCAACATGCAAACCTCCGCCAAATTGAGTTATGAAAATTTGATCAGATCGTTAATGCAAAAATGGCCCAGAACAGTCCACTCCCACCACTGCCAACAATGTGGATAATCAGACTGCCACTCTCCTACTAAATAGAAGCATGGCAGGAACTCATCCTGAATACTGATCTCCTCTCTATTCTTCACTGCTCTCCCACTAACCCTCAAAGGACAAAGTTCAGCCCTGTTCTTTGTACGGAACGACCTACAGTACCACATACAGGTTTTAGTTCCGTTATGTTTGTGAATATTGTGTCGCTGAATGGGTTTGAGCGTGTGGGTGGTCATTATGCTTGAATATGTACAGGATGATTACTGTTGATGTCACTGGCTAACTCCAGCGCTGTGAATGACGACGTTGTATGGAATTTGTAGTCTGAACAATGGCTTTTCTCTGGTGGCAATCACCTGTATAATTACTGTGCAGTTTGGGAACAATGGCTAGATCTAAGATGTAATTGCACAGGTATATAATCCGTCTCTCACCACTCAGAAAAGTTTTAAAAATCCAATAGACACACTTGGAGATGAATATTAATTGTTTTGAAAAGCCCCAAATGTGTGTCCCTTCAAACAAAGGGAGAGCTAGACATGAATTAGCCTACATTAAGAGGATGGAAATCAGACATATTCTTATTCCTTTTCTCCAGTGTAGGCTATGTCCGCTTGGTTGTTAAGTGAATGAATTACAAATCATTCTGAATACAGTTATGATTCATTTTTAAAGTAAATTTTTTTCTTTTGAGATGATTATGTAAATGAATAACATACAGTCAACCGGTCATTATCGCAAACCTTTCTCAAATTTAAATTTTAATTATCAATTTTACATTTTTTTTTTACCTGTATATTATCTTAAAGCTTCCACTAAGAAAAAAATAGTCCATTATAAAACAATCGGTCTAGCAACAAGACGAACTTTGTAACATAAAACCTGCATATTGCATTGCTATTAATATACTGTTAATAATGTCTACATATTACATTACTACTAATATAAATCCTCTGAGGTAATTTTCTCTACAATTGATAACTGTGACGCAGTTATTGAAATTAAATTTGAACAACTAAGTTGTTCCAAGGAGAAAAAAGGAAGTTCTGCAAGAAGCGAATTTGAGGAGTTTGGAAACAGCAACAGCAACAACAACCACAAGCTTAGTGCCCCCATCTTCTGCAACAACTCAGAACCTTCTCTTCAGTGAATCTCTAAATCTAAATCTCTAAAATCCTTCAGATTGGTCAAACTACAACTTCTTCCAATTTATATAGATCTTATTTATTCACCAATCTTCCATGATTGTTCTTTACTGTCCAGGCGAAATTCCTGGCTGATGCCCCATAAAATAGTGTGACCAAAACTAAATATTAACATTAATATTAATATTTAAGCCCAAAGACATTACACTTGTGGTGCTACTTAGATCTAAAATCACTACATTCAGTTGTGCCCCGTGTGAGGATATCTAATACTGATATCACTACAGTGTGTAACGGTCACTTAGAGCATTTGCATTAATTTGTGGAAGAATAACAACTGCGCATGTGTGTAGAGTGTGTGTCTGTAAGGTAGAAAGTGAGCAGGAGAAAAGATAATTGCTCTGCTGACTTTGGTTTCTCTTTCTTTTATTTTCCTCTTTCCATTTGTATCCTAAGTGGAATGTTATTTGTATACTTTTACTCACTCATACTTACTATATGCAGATGAGTGTATGGCACTTAAGTCTTTTTAATAAACCTGGGGAAAATCCGCCAGCTTCCGTCTCTTGTGCATCTTTTCCTCCAATGGCACACATTTGGTTTCTCTCTGGGCAACTGAACATTTCAACTTTGCGGTTACAAGTGGACTCTCTTCCAACAGCTTGAAGACCTTGATTTTGCAGATGATGGAGCTCTTTTGTCTTCTACGCATGTTCACCTACAGGAGAAGACCAATAGACTGGACAACTTTGTCAGGAAAAGAGGCCTCAACATAAGCACCACTAAAACCCAAGTGATGCGCATCGACACAAGTTCTGATGAACCCATTTCTCTGAATGGAAGCCCACATGAAGATGTTGAGGATTTCACCAACCTTGGCAATCTGACATTGAAAGACAAAGTGCAGCAGCTAAGAAAGACTAGGTAAAGCCCGCAGTGCCTTTGCTAGACTCCAGTCCATCTGGAAATCTGCACAATACAGCCTCAGAACAAAGATGAGACTATACAACAGCAATGTCAAATATTTTCTGCTGCATGGGTCAGAATGCTGGCATGGAGTGACATGAAGTTTGAGGTATTCCACAACAACTGCCTTGCCATATCTTCTAGCCAGAGAGCATCTCAAATGCTGAGGAAACTATGAAGACCAACTCACACAGCGTGGTGTTGGGGAATGAAGTGCTGTAGAATGAAATGGTTTGGTCCTTTGGGTGGACCAGAATCGCTTCCTAAAAGTAGCTATGAGTTGGAGACCACCTGGGAAAAGGAAGCAAGAAAGGCCGAAAACAACCTGGAGCAAGCTGAAGTAAAAGAACTACACCTCTCATCAGGCGAAGGCGAAGCACAACATGCTGCCAATGACACTACAAGAAAGCACATTGTCATGGCCTCATGAACTAGAAGACTTAAAGATTAAGACTAAAATTACTATAATTAAAACTGAAATAAAAATAAATGAAAGCTATATTGAAATATCAATAAATAAA